ACTTCTACCAACGATTTCGCGAATACCGACATACTTTATGGGCTCTTATACCAACAGAGTGCGTATCCGATCACCGAGTCTCTTACCTAAGGGGGGATAGTCTAGCCCTTCTTGCTAACCTTGACCCAATTCTTTTTCTCATGTCACCGTGTGACTCAGTCGGATCTTCGATTCAACATTCCCGAGCAAACCCATCATCCACCCACGTGGTGTATGATGTCAACCATGCACCCTCACACCCATACTCATGTCATAGATGCAGTTCCTTCGTGCAAATGTAATGTAAAACATCATTGCTATATCAATGTCATGTCCATATGTAATGAATACCACATGAGCAAGTTTAACCACATATTTTCATATTCCATGCCCAATTATATTATATGCATATAATCATCCAACGTTATCACAATGTTAATATATCAACATTTTATTTTCAACAACATATCCCAAGCATGTTATCACATAATATATGTCAATAACACTCTGCATTCACAAGACATAATATAAACACATAACATACCCACATAATACCAAATTCCATAGAATTACACAAGTAATTTCCACATTTTAATTCCAAGTTAGGAAATTTATTTCAAGCTATTTCAATACTCATTTTCATTCTCATTTTCAATACTTATTTCATCAATTTCACAAATATAGGTAAGTGTTAATTCTCTAACAACCTACCCATCTCATATAGCACCCTAGGTTAGAAAATAAACCAAAATAGGAAGGAACTCTACCTCTTGCAGCGTAAAACGACGTTGGGAAGCTTCAAGAACCCAAAATAAGCTTGAATCTCTAACTCTCCAAAATTTCGCCCTTGGAATCTCGCCCAAACCCGACCTCCTTGGTATGGTTTTGTAGCCCTTGGCCAGGAGAAAGACTTTCGTTCTTGGCCCGAGTGGATTCGACTGCTTATAAAGAGAAGTGGAGAAACCCTCTCTTCCTCTATATCGGGGTGAATGACTAATGAATTGGGGGAGAAATCAGATTTTTTCCCCTATTTATACTTCTCAATACTTAGCCCACAACAAGTCACACGACCCTCTTTTTTTCGGGTCCGTTTTCGCGTCAAAACGATCAAATTTCATTCCGCTTTATGTTCAAAATATTTTTATTTTAACTTGCCTAAAATTATTTTATAACTTTCAAAATGTTATTAAAAATCTCGTTTTTGGGTCATCCGAGACTCGATCACCTCATAAAGCGTAAAAAATTCGACTATCTTAGAATTTAATGAAATTTGACAGGGTAGCTAAATTTCGCTAGATGAATCTAACGGTGAGGTCTATTTTGTCATCCGAGTTTTAAAAAAATTTAAGTTTTTAACCCGTACCGTAGCGATAAATTACCATTTTGTCTTTTTTGTGAAAAGTTCAAATTTACCCGAGTTTTACATTCTTCCTCCTTAAAAGAATTTTGTCCTCGAAATTTACACACACATACAAACTTAACCGCGTGCATATGCAACATTTATATTTCACTTAAAATTTTAGAAATGTACCTCCATCCTTGAACATAAATGAATAATTTGTACATATTGTGTCACCACGCTCCCATATCGCCTCCTCCACCCCTCGGTGCTGCTATAGCACCTTTACTAGCCTCACAGTCTTTTCTTGCAAAAATTGCTCCCGGCTATCCAAGATATGCACCGGTCCTTCCTCGAAGGTCCCATCCGCATCAACAATCAACTCACCTTAATCCACTACATGTGTCAGATTTGGAGTATAGTTTCGGAGCATAGAGACATGGAACACCGTGTGTACTCCCGATAAATTTGGCGATAACACCAATTTATAAGTCACTGCATCTACCTTCTCGAGTACCTCGAAAGACCCGATAAACCTCGATGATAACTTTCCTTATTTTTTGAACCTGACAACTCCCTTCTTAGGCATCACCTTCAAAAAGACGTGATCTCCCACCTCAAACTCCAGAGGTCACTACCATCTGTCGACATAGCTCTTCTGCCGGTTCTGAGCCGTAAGAAGACATTTCCGTATCAAGTCCACCTTCTCCGAGGTGTCTCTGATCAAATCTGAACCCGTAGAGGGTTTCTCTCCTACCTCCATCCAGCACACTGGAGAACGACAAAATCTCTCATATAGTGCTTCATAGGGTGCCATATGAATGCTTGCCTGATAATTGTTGTTGTAGGTGAACTCCACTAAGGGTAAATGTTCTTCCCAGCTTCCCTTGAGATATAAAACACATGCCCGTAGCATGCCCTCTAATATCTGGATGGTCCTCTCTGACTGACCATCCATATGGGGATGAAAAACTGTGCTCATCATCAACTGTGTCCCCATGACCCGTTGAAAACTCTCCCAAAAGTGAGCCGTAAACCTGGGATCTCGATCTGATACAATAGATATGGGCACCCTATGCAACTGGATAATCTCCAGTATATACAACCTGCAGAATTTCTCTAGTGTGAAGGTCATCCGTACTACCAAAAAGTGTGTCGACTTCGTAAGTCGGTCCACTATCACCCACACTGCGTCGTGTCCCCGCGATGTCTGTGGCAAGTGAGTCACAAATTCATTGTGACATGCTCCCACTTCCACTCAGCCACCTCCAAAGGCTGGAGCAACCCCGCTGGTCTTTGGTGCTCGGCCTTGACCTGCTGACACGTGAGACATCGTTTGACAAAATTTCTAACATGTCTCTTCATTTCACTCCAATAATACTAGCGACGAAAATCATGGTACATCTTTATGCCACCTAGATGTACACCAAATCGGGAGCAATAGAACTCCCTAAGGATCTCCTTTCTTAGATTCGCTAACGGGGGAACCACAATCCTTCCATTATACTGAAGACTGCCATCCAAGTGAATGACCCAGCCCTCATCACCGGTACCTGCCTGTACTCGGCCCCTGATGGATAATAACTCTGGCTCCTACCCCTGGGACTCAATCACCCTGCTCAGTAGGGAAGGCGTAACCACCAAGCTCCCCAAAACATCCTGAACCTGACCCCGATAATGCAAGCCAAACTATTCCACAGTCTCGAGTATCCGCCATTCTCGGGAAGCCACACTAGCCAAGACTTCCCGTGACCTTCGGCTGAGTGCATCAACCACCACATTTGTCTTACCAGGATGGTAATACAAAGTGAAGTCGTACTCCTTCAAATACTCCATCCACCTGTTTTGCCTTATGTTGAGGTTCCACTGTGTAAAGATGCATTTCAGACTTTTGTGGTCTAAAAATACCTCGAATTGTTTACCATATAAATAGTGGTGCCAAACCTTCAAGGCAAAGACAATGGCCGCCAACTTCATGTCATGCGTGGGATAATTCTATTCGTGGTTCTTTAGTTGTCGAGAACTATAAGCCACCACCCTCTTAGATTGCATCAAAACACATCCAAGTTCGTCTCTGGAGGCATCACAGTACGCTGTGTACATTTGTCCCCTCTTTGGGACTATCAAAAT